AGTACGGTGTAAAATTTTTACAATACTAAACTTGGTACAAATGTTATAAGCTAATCCTACTCCAAAAAATATTAGCCCACAATCTCTTTGTCTCCTAGCCTGTGATTGTTTTTTTGTTTAATATTAGCTCACATATTTTGACTAAAAAAAAACACATTTATGATTGCTTTTGGAACAAATAGCATGAGAGTATTAATAAATTGGATTAAAATTACTATCGAAACAAACATGGGAAATATTTAATGTTTGCCAACGTGAAAATTTAATAATTTCTTCATGCTCTATGTTCTCTAGTAGCCGTAAACCCCCTTTCCTTTTTGCCAAAATAAACTGTAAACCCCTCTTCTTTGGCTCTATTTTAAATATTTTACGAGTATCAGCTAATTAAGGTGGTTTTGAAGTTGAAACTCCAAGGCTTGAGGTTAAATAGTGGCTAGTCTGGTCCCTCTGTAGTTTGGATTGCTTCTGTTGAATTGCATTTGCTTTGCTTCTTCTAGCTGCATAGTATTTCTGAGAGAAGGATAAGGTTTTTTATTTTAAAAAATAGTATAGCCGACTATCCCCCCCCCCCCCCCCCCCCCCCCCCCCCTTTTTTTTTTTAAAAAAAAAAGAGTATTGTCGCGCGGCTATACCGTTCTTTACTAATTTTTTTAAAAATAGTATAGCCCTCGACTTTATTGTTTTGACACTTGGCGCCTAGCTCTAAGTAGTTCCTTTTTTTTAAATATATATACTAGCCCCAGTGGCAATTGGTTTTCTTTTTTATTTTTTATTTTATTTTAGAATTAAGAAAAGATAACACGGGTAGTTATGTTTCATAAAGTATGACTTATTATCTGATTTTATTTTTAATTTTAATTTTTTTAATATGAAAAAATGAATTTACCATATTGTCCTCATTTAATTAATAATTTCAATTCTTAATGTTTGAATTAATCAAGGGCATTTTTTGGTATTTTGAATGTTTCACCAATCTCTACATTTTGCTTTATATATACTAGCCCATTGGCACACATTCACGCATGTGCCAATTGGTTTTATTTTTATTTTATTGTTTTTTATTTTTTTATTTTAATTAAGAAAATATAAAATGGGTAGTTATGTTCCATAAAAGTATGAGTTATTATCTGATTTTCTTTTAATTTTAATTTTTTTAATATGAAAAAATGTGAATTTACCATACTAACCTCTCCGCACGTGTTTCCACGCCTGTAATGGGCCTTTTTTTAAAAAATTTAAATTTATTTTAGAATTAAAAATAATAATGGGTAGTCGTGTTCCATAAAAATAGGATCTATTATATGATTTTTCTTTTAATTTTAATTTTTTTTAATATGAAAAAGTGTGAATTTACCATATTATCCTCATTTAATTAATAATTTCAATTCTTAATGTTTGCATTAACCAATGACATTTTTTGGTATTTTGAATGTTTCACCATTATTTGCCTTTTGCTTTATATTTAGAGATTATCCTCATTTAATTAATAATTTTAATTCTTAATGTTTGAATTAACCAAAGACATTTTCTGGTATTTTGAATGTTTCACCATTCTCTGCTTTTTGCTTTATATATATAAATATATATATATATACAGTCCCCTTCAGTTGAGGGATCCCTCAAATAGTGTTATTTGAGGGATGGGCCGCTCAGCCGTTGGATCTCTTTTAATGAACTTGTGTGGCTGTGATTCTTTTAAATGTTTTAACCCGTTTGAAAACTCCTGACCCAACACAAACTCCACTTACGTTTGGGAATGACGTACGCTGGAAACCAAACGTCTTTCTTCTTCCTCCAACGCTTGGAGACCTTTCACGCAGACCAAACGACGTGAAGAAGAAGACTCACCATCGTCAGTTGAAGAAGAAGACCCACCATCGTCAATTGAAGAAGAAGACCCACCATCTATGCGACAGAGGTATGTTATCGTTGGTTCTGATTCTTTCAATATCTGCGCCATGGTTCTTCGATTTGGAGTTTTGGGATGAGTTCTGATATGGTTTTAACGGGTTTGAAGATCACTCCTCCAGATTTGTAATGGTTTTTTAAAATTTTGGAATATCTTGTGTATGACATCTGAATTGAGTTCTAATGGGCATGAAGAGAAAAAAAAATACAGGGACAATTTCATATTCTGATATTAAATAATGCATGGGCTGTATGCCTCCTAGAATTATTTAGTTTTGTGTTACTTAAGATGTGAAATTTGGTTTACAGAGAATTGGAAGCCAAAACTGTCAGCCTTCACTTACATAATATATTTGCGGTAGAGTAGGTTTTCCAACCTCTACGTTTAGCACTAAGCCTTTGCTGCTTCACATTAACTATCAATTTACAGTAGTTTTCACTTCTTGCACTCTTTATTTGTGTGCGCGCGTGTGTTTATGTTCCATCCCTCCCTAGAACAGTTCAGCTGAGTAAGCGGGTGTATGGCATGCAGGGTAAAAGTCTAAAAAGTTTTATTTGATTATCTGGACTTACATACTCCTACTACGATTGGCTTATAATGTCTAAAAAGTTATGTGTGATCCTTTTACTTTAATGTTCAGTTGACCGTTGTTATAGTGCTTGAGACCATATTCATTGTTTTCCATGATGTTGTTGTCTTGGCTGTAATTTTTGGCTTTGTGAAATTTCAATGCTAGGTGCTAGTAGTCCAAGGAAAGGGTGGACAGTATCGAGGGACGGGAGTGTGGAAGCTCCCTACTGGAGTTGTTGATGAGGTGTGTGCATTTCCTACAAGCATTGGTTTTTATTCTCTCAGAGCTTTAGAGTGTAGTGTAGTCTAGTCTAAACCATATATTGAACTTTATCGCCTCCAGGGAGAAGATATCTTTGTAGCTGCTGTTAGAGAAGTCCAAGAAGAAACAGGAGTAAGTAGTTACCAACTTACCATGCAATTACGCGTTTTTTTATTTGAGTTGGTGTAAATATTAGCTAATCAATGCAATTTTCACTTACATAATATATTTGCAGTAGAGTAGGTTTTTTCTGTCTTTTTTTTTCTTTTCTTAATCTAGTCTTTTGGATTAAGGGAAAAAAAAAGAAGACAAGAAAACAGAATTTCATACATATGATATATTTTTTATCTACTCTTAATTGATATTTGAGAAGAAAAAACAGAATGTTATATATATATATATGTGTCCATGTTTTGTGATTAAAGAGTATCTGTGCATGTTCTATGGTTAAACAGATTTTCTCACCTGCTGTTCAACCATGGAAGCTAATAATGGCATATTACTTCCCATGGAAACTGATCCGGAAACAAATCCTTCTGTATCAATTTTCTATCCTCAAGTAATTGGTGACCTCACTCCTTTCAAGGTCAACAATTTGAAACATTAGAAGAAGTGTATGACTTTTACAATCAGTATGCAAGGGAAGCTGGGTTTAGCGTTCGATCCTACTCTAGTAAGAAGAGTAAAGATGGAGAGGTCATACGGAAGGAGTACGTTTGCAATAAAGAGGGAAGTTGGTCAACTGAAACAAGTGGTGTTGTAAAAAGGCGTCGTGGAGTAGGCAGAGAGTCTTGTAAGGCGCGGCTAGTAGTTGTTAAATCAAAATATGGTGGATATGTAGTCACCATATTTGAAGAGGCTCATAGTCATCCAATGACAACCCCGCGAAGACGCCACTTATTAAAGTCTCATCGTCGAATTTCTGGTGTTAATCAACTTGTAGCACAACAACTAATATCCGTAAATGTATCCACACACCAACAATATGACATTCTAGCAACACAAGCAGGAGGCATTGAAAATGTTGGTTTTACTCAACAAGATATGTACAACTCCAATAGAGATAGACGTATGAAGATCAAGGGTCATGATGGAGAAATGTTGTTTGATCATTTCATGAATGAGCAAGAAAAAAATCCAGGGTTCATATTCAAGGTTGAGACAATATTGAACACAAGATTACTCGATGTTTTTGGGCTGATGCAATCTCTAGGCAATCGTACAAGTTTTATGGTGATGCAGTTATCTTTGACACCACCTACAACACCAATCGATATTGTATGATCTTTGCACCAATTATGGGAGTAAACAACCATGGTCAGACAATTATTTTTTCTGGGGCATTCTTAAGTGACGAGACTACAGACTCTTTCATTTGGTTGTTTAGAGAATTTTTGAGGGCTATGCCAGGTGATGCTCCGAAAATTATTATTACTGATCAAGATCCCGCAATGACAAAAGCCATTTCAGAAGCTCTTCCAAACACATTTCACAGGTATTGTAGCTGGCATATTTTAAATAAATTCTCTGACAAGCCCGAGTGTATTCTTCACTATCAACAATTTAGAGAATGCGTTTGGGATTCTGAGAGTAGAGATGAGTTTGACTTGAGATGGAAGAGTATTGTTGAGAACATCGGGTTAAATGAAGATACATGGTTGCAATCAATATTTAATATTCGGTCTAAATGGGTTCCAGCATATGTGAACCACATTTTCTCATGTGGAATGTCTAGTAGTCAGCGAGCAGAAAGTGGGCATGCATTTTTCAAGAGGTATGTATCAAAACACAATTCCTTGGTGGACTTTATGGTTCAATTTAATAGAGGACTTTTACACCAGCGACACTTGCAATTGATGGCAGATCACACTGATATCAATGAGAAGGCAAAAACTAAGTGCCCTATAATGATGGATAGACAAATGGCTAATATATACACACGTACTTACTTCTATAAATTTCAAGATCAGTTGTGGGAGAGTTATTGCAACAATGTTGAGCTTACAGAAGAGAATGCCACTCACTGCACATATAAAGTTGTACATATGGATGGCAAAAAGAAAAAAAGAAACCGGCTGATTGTTTATGACAAATATGCAGATTTTGCATAATGTAGCTGTCATATGTTTGAGAGTTTGGGAATCCCATGCAGCCATACTTTGGCATATTTGCACAAAATACGTCAACTTCATGAATTGCCAGATCAATATATTTTGAAGAGGTGGACTAGATCTGCTAGATCTGATATTGTGGTAGACAATGATGGTGTTGAGATATCTGTTGACAACTCCATAATAGGAAAGCGCAGTGCTTTATTCCAACGATATTCACATGTGATTGATAAAGTCATCTTAAGTGATGAGGCTAGTCAGATCTTCTGTGAGGCATTGGATTCATTGATTGAGAGGATTAAACCATTGCTTAATGGTGTCGAAGAAGTACTACCTTCTGCAAGGAGAAGTATTGATTTTGAAACTAGTTTAAATGAACCAGATCCTGTTAAAGCAAAAGGAAGCGGGAAAAGACTTAAGGGCAGAAAGGAGTTGGCGAGAGAAAAATACAAAGGTCGGCGTTGTAATGGGTGTGGAAAATATGGACAAACACACGACAAAAGGAACTGTCCTATGCTTCAAAAATCGTAAGAATGCAAACTTATTTGCATTTTTCCTTTCTTATTATTATGTATTAACCTCATGTGTAACTTTGTGATGTTATCTTTGACCATGATAGATCTTCAATTGTTGACAAAGATGCTTTTAATGGCATGGATAATAGTTCTTCGTCACAGGTAATTATAGTGATTCACAGAACTTATATTATTTTGTTGATGATTGAATAATAGTTCTTCGTCACAGATAAATTTTTATTTCTTTTCCATTTACTTTGTCTTGTCAGGATGATTAGTTTTTTGGATGATGTTTTGAGCTCCAGTGATTCCACCTATTTCTTGGAAGGAGCTAGGACATGGCTAGTAAGGTGTCTGCAAAACACAAGATGTGTGTTCTTTTTGGGTCAAACTCGGATATTGTTCCTTCCACTACAAGGAAGTATTTAAGTTTTTTTTTTTCATCATGTACATGTAAAACGAGACTCAATTTTCAAGTGTCAATAAATTGTTCGTAATTATCTGTTCAAATGTTTCTAGACTGCTGTGAAGAGGTTCCTGAAGAAGGACATTAGACTTAGCACAAACTGGAAAAAATGAAAATTTGGAGGCATTACAGGTTGCTGCAACCTGCTCACTAAAATCGGAAGCAAGTTAAGTTTTACAATGTGTATATTATAAGACGGCTAACTTCCTTTCACGGCCACACCTCCTTCGTGCAAAAACAAGAAAAGCACAACGGCCAAAAGGAATATTCAATTCAATAGAGAAAAAACAAAAAGAATGGAAAGCAGTACCTATAACTGTTTATCAATGAGAAATTATGCAATGTGAATGGTACGATCATTTTGGAAAATATTAATTAAAAATAAAACTGAATGATATAAACCGTCATATATCAAATGGAACAAGCTTTGAGATAAAGAGGTTGGCCTTGTGTTCAAATAGCCTTTTCACATAGAATTGCTTGAGAGCAGGTGGTCCTTAAATTGATAATTAACTTCAATAAATTGCACAAGTTGGCCCCAAGAACTATCATCTAAGCATAAAAGTTTATATCCAACCCAAAAAGCACTACAAACATGATCACTTGGATGAGAAGTTCCATGACAGCAAAACAAACACCATCAAAGATGTTAAATCCAAAGTACAGCAGATGGTCCAACTTCGAGACTGACATAAACGAACAAGATTACTCCATTAAAAACCTGCAATGCAAGAAAAAAAACGAAAAAGAAAAAATGAGACTACAAGAATTTACCAGAATTTCTGCTCCTAATTGATTTCAAGGAAAAAAAAAACCAGAATTTGATTCGTCTATGCTCCTAAGAACATTATAATTATAGGAATATTTCATCTGTTTCTATTGATTAAATGAGTGTATAGTATCTCTATTGTGCACAGCTTGTTAGAGAATTAGAATAAACAAACTCTGTGGAGTGCAGAAAAGTGTAGGATCAGATTTTGATCAAATCAAGAATTACCCATTAAACCTATATCAAGAATTCATCATTAGAACCCAAATCAAGAATTTACCATTAGAACACAATTTAAAATTGCCAACTTATATCAAGAATTCATCAATGGAACCCAAATCAAGAACTACCCATAAGAACCTATATCCAGAATTAATCATTATAACCGAAATAAAGAATTTCCCATTGGAACTCAAATAAAAACTTATCACAGAATCCCCAAATCAATAACCCATCTCAACCTTGACCAGAAATTGTTAAAATTAAAAACCAATTGCAGAACCCCAATTCGAAAATCACAACCCAGATTTAGAACGAAACCCCAATTCCAAATCGAAGAACCATGGCGCAGATATTGAAAGAATCAGAACCAACGATAACATACCTCTGTCGCATAGATGGTGGGTCTTCTTCTTCAATTGACGATGGTGGGTCTTCTTCTTCAACTGACGATGGTGAGTCTTCTTCTTCACGTCGTTTGGTCTGCGTGAAAGGTCTCCAAGCGTTGGAGGAAGAAGAAAGACGTTTGGTTTCCAGCGTACGTCATTCCCAAACGTAAGTGGAGTTTGTGTTGGGTCAGGAGTTTTCAAACGGGTTAAAACATTTAAAAGAATCACAGCCACACAAGTTCATTAAAAGAGATCCAACGGCTGAGCGGCCCATCCCTCAAATAACACTATTTGAGGGGATCCCTCAACTGAAGGGGACTGTATATATATATATATATATAGTGTAGTTGGGATGCGATACCCAGTTTTTAATTTTTTTAAAAAATGGGACCGCCACCCAGCTATCCTGGCGCCTATTCGTTGGGCTGGTCCTCTTTTGTTTTTTTATAAATAGTATACCCAAATGGCTATAATAGATTTACTTTTTTTTCAAAATTGTATAGCCGGGCAGCTGTAATCGATTTTTTAATTCTTTTAAAATAGTGTAGCCGTTCGGCTTTATTGGATTTTTCTTTTTCTAATTGTTTTTAAAAAATAGTATCACCGGTTGGCTATACTTGGTTTTTTTTCCTAGTATAGCCGCCCGGCTTTTCTATTTGACAGGTGACTCCTAGCGTTAAGTGGGTCCTGTTTTTAATATATTAATAGTATAGCCGCGCGGCTATACCCTGTTTTTCATTTTGTTTATAAAATAGTATAGCCGACCGGCCATACTCGATTTTATTAATGTTTCTTAAAAAAATTAGATTTTTTTTATAAAAATAATATAGCCGCAGCGTTATTGGGTTAGCGACAGATTTAAGGCAATTTCATCCAAATTGCCATAAACCAAGAACAAAACTTTTCACAATTAGCATCGAACTAATTTATATCGGCAATTTGGTCCCTTCTAACCCCTTTCTCTCCCAATTCCCATCTTCCTTTCCCTCTTAGCCCATTTATTACAATAGAGAAAGAAGAAGAAAATGCGAATTTGCAAGTGCCGAATTGAGGCTAAACCGCTCAAACTGCAAAACAGATGGAGGAAATTCAACCCATTTCCCAAATAAAAAGAAAATTCAAAACTTACATAGCTATTCTATCCAAAATAAAGTTAAGGATCTATTTGGCTACCGAAAAAGTTGTAGTTCCGAACATTATTAGAATTTGGTATTACTGAGATGGGTGTTTAAGTTTTTCATAAAGCAAAAACAAACATAAATCAAAGGGCACACAACTGCACTTTGTTTTGTTTAATTGGGGATTAGTTTTCTTCCATTTTCACATCAACCAAGCATAGCTGGTTTTGATATACAAAATAATCACAAATAGTCGGAGTATTTTGGTACAGATAGAGTTACCAAATGGAGAACTTGATTTCTCTGCATATTTTATATTTTTGGGCTGCAGACTTCATTTTCATTTTCTAGTTTGCTTTTCAAGTTTTCAGGGAAAGGGGGACGATGGGTTTTGAGAGGGAAAAGGTTAGAAGGACCAAATTGCCCTCAAATTAGGTTACACGTGGGCCTCATGTGTCATTTTTAATAGCAATTTGGATTAAATTGACTTAAATCTAAGGGTAGGTCTGAAATTGGCAATATAAATTAGTTCAGGTGCTAAATGGATTAAAAAAAAATATATATATATATATTTGTCGTAATCAATCATGTTCATTCAAAACCCCATAAATGAGGAGGAAACAAACAGAGAATATAAAGAGAAAAAGGCCAACTAAATGAACAAATTACCACAAACACAGGGAAGATTAGATTAAAACCAGTACAGTATAGTATAATAGTCTTCCATGTCACAAAATCAAACCAAATTACAATACAAAGCCACAGTCAATCTCAAAGGGGATAGAGACCGCACCATAATGGCCACAAAGGAGGGGATACACCACGACCACACAGGTCAACATTGTTGCAAATAGAGACCCACTGATCTTCCACCAAAAATAAATATTCCCCAAAAATCGGGAACACATCAGCCCCCAAATGGTCCTCCAAAAGTCACCTTCTCCAACACACCCAATGGGCTCAAATATAGCTTTGGGGGGGGTTAAGTTCGATAGTGTTATAGTTCATGGGATTAAATGGGTGAAATTTGGAACAGTCGAACCCAAATACTATATATTCCTCTATTCAATTCAAGTTAGTCCAGATTTAGTTTTCATTAAAATAAAAAATAAAAAAAAAATCAAAGATGTAAGTTTGATTTCGGTTTTTGTTCACTGAACGAAGCCCCAAAGCTAAAGGAATACAAGAGGCCCAACAAACTTGGGTTGGGCCAGAAAATTATAACATACAGCCCAATCTCATAATCCAAATCAACAAACAAAAAAATACCGATATAAGAAGAAATTATTCGTTGTAACAGTAACACCGTGACATGTCATATGTTATGATTTTGTAACACCATGTAGACATATGCTAAGTAATAATAAAGCAAATGATGGAATTTAAAAGTACAAAGGAATTCATACATCCCAACCGGCTGTGAATGCTTAATGCAGTAATTAAGACTAATTACCTTAACATGAAGATGACAAGGTTGATAGGGTTGTCTCAGTTGATGAGGTATCACCATCCACCAAAAAGCTACTTGTGGTTACATCTTTGAAATCCCAATCTGTCAAATAACTTGGCTTTGACATAACAGTGCTTGCATCAATATCTCCAGAAAGCATTGCCACCACACGTGACATCGATGGCCTCATCATTGGTGAAGCCTGAGTGCAGAGGAGAGCTGCTTTTATCAATCTAGTTGCGTCATTTTCATCAAACTTCGTCAATCTCGGATCCACCAGCCCCCAGACTCTGGTCCTTTTCATGTAGAGTCCATGCCTGAAAACAAACATCATGGCATGGTCAAAAAGGAAAAAAACAAAGAAATTTTCACGGCAATGCTAAAATAAAAGTAGCTAGGCTAAGTTTTCCTACCCATTCAAGAAGATAAATCTTCTCAGGATCCAAGTTGTTGTCAGAATTTGGTCTCCCGCTGAGGATCTCCAAAGCAACAACCCCGAAACCAAAAACATCAGCCTTTTCTGTCAGATGTCCTCGCATTGCATACTCCGGCGCCAAATAGCCTCTACAAGATTATCAAATGCTTACTAAAAATGTTGCTTGGATTACACCCTCCCTAGTAATGATTAACAATGTATAACTTAAACGAGGGCTTACATCGTGCCTGCAACCCGGGTGCTCATGTGTGTTTTCTCGTCATCATAAAGCTTTGCCCATCCAAAATCTGATATTTTTGGGGAGAGTTCTGCATCTAGCAAAATATTACTGGTTTTGACATCTCGATGTACAATCCTGGGCTTTGA